AACTGAGCTAGAACTCCCAACACTTAGACGGGGGACGACACAAGTTATCTGGCACGTAAGACTCGCTACTACGGACACGTCGATGACGTCATGTTCCAAGGGTAGACCTCAGGGAGGTTGTTACATGGGTGCTGTTGTAGTGTAGAAATTACAGATTAGTATCCTTAGGTTCAACTAAAACTGTTTGGAAAAGCAGGGAGGTTGAAAGGCAACTCACATTCGCAGCTTGAGGACCCTGCGGGCGCATACATGGTGTCAGGGCAGTCCGCCACACACTCAAAGTCTCCCACCACCCCGTCCAGGTAGGGGAAAGGCACCTTCTTGTTCAGGCACCCGATACAGTCGCGAGGGTCGTCTGAACCGGTGGTCCGGCAGCCTACGGACAGATGCCAAGTGTGAGGAAAAACTGTTAAGCCGCACCAAGTGATTTTATGGATGACGTCCTCCGGAGACCCCAAATCTAATGCGAGAGCGCGAAAAAAGAAAGAGAACAAAAAAAAGATTCCTAGCAGTTGTCATCCTGCCCTGTTTCTTTCATTTCATCACATCTTCCAATCTTGCGATTTACAGAACTATGGTGACTCTTTTTGTTTCACCTTCTTACTCTTCGTGGCACACCTGGATGCACCTGTTTGTGTCTCACCTGGATGCACATGTTTGTGTCTCACCTGGATGCACCTGTTTTAGTCTCACCTGGATGCACCTGTTTGTGTCTTACCTGGATGCACATGTTTGTGCCTCACCTGGATGCACATGTTTGTGTCTTACCTTCGCACTCCGCGTGGCACACCTGGATGCACCTGGCGCCGTCCTTGCGGGTCCCCTCGCGGCAGACGAGAGACTCCTCCGGCGTGCTGTCCAGCTGCGTGACGCCCATCAGCTTCACGGCGTGCGTGCCGCTGCCGAACGCGTAGTACTCCAGGCCGAGCACCTCACGGAACTTGTAATCCAGCCAGACGTGGGCCCGTTCCTACAGAACAACACAAGACATCAGCACAACACGGCAAGACGTTAGCACAACACGGCAAGACCTTAGCACAACACGGCAAGACATTAGCACAACACGGCAAGACATTAGCACAACACGGCAAGATATTAGCACAACACGGCAAGACCTTAGCACAACAAGGCAAGACATTAGCACAACAAGGCACGACATTAGCACACAAGGCAAGATATTAGCACAGCACGGCAAGACATTAGCACAACACGGCAAGACCTTAGCACAACAAGGCAATACATTAGCACAACAAGGCAAGACATTAGCACAACACGGCAAGATATTAGCACAACACGGCAAGACATTAGCATAACAAGGCAAGACATCAGTACAACGCTGCCGAACGCGTAATCCAGACAGACGTGATTATTATCATTAGATTGAAACTGACCTCATTATCGGGCGTCTTGCCGTACTGCACGACGGTTGTTCCCGCTTCGGCGTCCTCCGTCACACAGACGAAGTAAGACTGGTACAGAGTGGCGGAGCCGAGACCCGTGGAGCCCTGCTCGAACTGGGTAACCGCAAGCCGCATGGCCTAAAAAATCACAAAATAAACATTTCCATGTTTGGGAATGGTTACATGTACTCATTTGCATATTTAGGAATGATTACATGTTCTTATTTGCATGTTTTGGAATGGTTACATGTTCTCATTTGCATGTTTCGGAATGGTTACATGTTCTCCTTTGCATGTTTCGGAATATTCATATTCTTATTTGCATGATTGGGAATGGTTACATGCTGCTGAACCGAGTCCTGAAGAGCCCTGCTCGAACTGGGTAATCGCCAGCCGCATGGCCTACAGAAGGGCAAATTAAAACGTCTTCACGTTCTCATTTGCATGTTTGGGAATATTCATATTGCTATTTGCATGTTTGGGAATAGTTAAGTGCAGCTGAGCCGAGACCAAATTAAAACGTATTCACGTTCTCATTTGCATGTTTGGGAATATCCATATTCCTATTTGCATGTTAAAGAATAGTACAGTGCTGCTCAACATATTCATGTTCATTTGCATGTTTGGGAATGGTTACCTGTTCTCATTTACATATTTGGGAATGGTTACATGTTCTCATTTGCATGTTTGGGAATGGTTACATGTTCTCATTTGCATGTTTGGGAATGGTTACATGTTCTCATTTGCATGTTGGGGAATGATTACATGTCCTTATTTGCATGTGTGGGAATCGTTACATGAGGCTGAACCGAGACCCGTGGAGCCCTGCTCGAACTGGGTAACCGCCAGCCGCATGGCCTAAAGAAGGGCAAATTTGGTTAAGTTGCATGTAAACATTGGTGGTTCCCCGATGGTTTAGAAGGGTAGACATGGTCTGCATCATGGCAAAATTGGTATTCTCCAAGCAGATCATGAAGATCATAAAGAACAGTTTACCTTATAAATCGCCACGCCTTTGGGAGAGATCTCGAGGTAGATCCAAGTCTCGTGCTGCCGCGGGATGCCGGCGAACACCACGTACATGTCCCCCTCGGACGCCGCCGTGAAGTGGATGCACCTGCCGCCGCGGGAAGGGTCGATCCGGTGGGAGTTGGACCACTTCAGGTTACACGGCATGTCTCCTCTCGTGTTCCTAAACACAACAACGGCATCAGGAAACGGCCAGCAGCATGCACACACGCGCGCACACACATACACGCGCGCGCGCACACACACACACACGCACACGCGCGCACAAACACGCACACACACACACACACACACACACACACACACACACACACACAGCACACATTCACACACACACGGGAAGGGTCGATCCGGTAGGAGTTGGACCACTCCAGGTTACACGGCATGTCTCCTCTCGTGTCCCTAAACACGCCAGTAGGAAACAACGGCATCAGGGCCACACACACTCACACACACACACACACACACAAATTAGTTTACCATAGCACCATGTAAGCTGCAGAGTTGGTACGTACGTTGAGCGTTGGCTGAGCCTTGCCAGGAGGGACTTGTACTCCGCCCGGGCGACAGTCATGCCGTTCGCCCACTCCGGCAGGTCCGGGATGACCGCTGATGACGCCACGAAGTCGTCATGCGACAAACTCAGCAGACCGGAGTCCTCCTCGTAACTCATCACCAGACCCCCCACGGAGATCTGTGGGACATAGCAACGTTATACGTCATCACCATACGTCATCACCAGACCCCCCACGGAGATCTGTGGGACATAGCAAAGTTATACGTCATCACCATACGTCATCACCTTACGTCATCACCATACGTCATCACCATACGTCATCACCAGACCCCCCACGGAGATCTGTGGGACATAGCAACGTTATACGTCATCACCATACGTCATCACCAGACCCCCCACGGAGATCTGTGGGACATAGGAACGCTATACGTCATCACCATACGTCATCACCATACGTCATCACCAGACCCCCCACGGAGATCTGTGGGACATAGCAAAGTTATACGTCATCACCATACGTCATCACCAGACCCCCCACGGAGATCTGTGGGACATAGCAACGTTGTACGTCATCACCATACGTCATCACCATACGTCATCACCAGACCCCCCACGGAGATCTGTGGGACATAGCAAAGTTACACGTCATCACCATACGTCATCACCATAAGTCATTACCACACGTCATCACCAAACGTCATTACCTTACGTCATCACCACACGTCATCACCAGACGTCATCACCACACGTCATCACCAAGCGTCATTACCTTACGTCATCACCACACGTCATCACCACACGTCATCACCACACGTCATCACCACACGTCATCACCACACGTCATCACCAGACGTATCCTGGCTACGGGCACGGTAAGCTGCGTACCTTGTTCCTGGTAGCCGTTATCGTGCTGTAGCCGTTATCGTGCCCGTCGTAAGTGTAACAGTTTAAGTTAAGAGTTCTGTGACAGTTTGAGGGTTATGTATGTAAGCTGCGTACCTTGTTCCTGGTGACGTCCCCGCTGTAGCCGTTATCGTGCCCGTGGTAAGTGTAACAGTTTAAGTTAAGAGTTCTGTGACAGTTTGAGGGTTATGTATGTAAGCTGCGTACCTTGTTCCTGGTGACGTCCCCGCTGTAGCCGTTATCGTGCCCGTCGTAAGTGTAACAGTTTAAGTTAAGAGTTCTGTGACAGTTTGAGGGTTATGTATGTAAGCTGCGTACCTTGTTCCTGGTGACGTCCCCACTGTAGCCGTTATCGTGCCCGTCGTACAGGTGCGGAGCGAAGCCTTTCCGAACCGTCAGCCATCTGTTGAACACGAACTTGACGTCCAGGCTGGCCTTGGCCGTGAGGAAGTTGGGGATGTTTCCCGGCATGTCGAAGATGACCGTGAACTCTTGACCTGACGTCATGTACTGCCAGGTCGGCGCGCCTGCGTTCTCCTCCTCCAGAAGCGCCAACTCAGCAGTTTCACATCCGGGTTCTCCCGCAGGCACCGAGAAGTCGGAGAACAGAAAAGAACCCTGCGGACGGAAAAAGGGTCAGAGTGACTTACCCATGATGCACTGAGAACTGTCATGGCGCCGTGACCAACACTAGGCATTATGGGAAGTGTGAAAACCATCAATAATGAGAACCTACCTCTTCCAGATAGACAGCGTTCGCGCGCTGAAGGGACAGCCTCCGGTTGGAGAGGGCTGCCTCCAGGTCCGCCTGAGCAGCGAAGTCGCAGTAGCGAACCTCTGTGGTGGTGCTGGTGCTGTTGGCGATAGGCACCTCCTGGGTGTAGAACTTCCGGCCATGCTCGTCTGTCTGTAGCGTAGTGCTGTGCGACAAAATATTTATCAGCTGCGGAACTCGCAGTTTTCTCCGTTTACACACACACACGCACACACACGAACGCACACATACACTCACACACACACACACACACACGAACGCACACATACACTCACACACACACACACACACGCACTCACACACACACAGTACAGACATACAAACACACACACAAACACAGAGACGAACACCCAAACGCACCCGCCGAAGCAGCCGTAGTCCGTGATGCCGCTGGGGAAGAGCGAGTCCAGGTTCATGTCCAGCAGCTCCGGCAGCGGCTGCATGGTGAACTCGAACGCCTTGGGAAACTCGTTGATAGACTCGAGCCAGGCCTTGAGCAGGGTGCCGAAGCTGGTGGTGTAGAACTCGGTTATGGCGGCCGAGATGCGCTGGGAGCCGCCCTGAGCCTTCAGAACCTCATTGCTGTACTCCATCCGGCTTCTGAACACACAAAACATCAGGAGGCAAATCTGAATCAGCATATATTACCATGTGAAGGTCTGGTGCTTGACTTACAAACTAATACTGGGGTGCCAGGTCTTCTAGGGACGCCTCAGGTTACAGGGTGTACAGGTCACAGGGGGAGGGGGTACAGGGTTACTGGGNCCCACTGCTCGTCTGTCTGTAGCGTAGTGCTGTGCGACAAAATATTTATCAGCTGCGGAACTCACAGTTTTCTCCGTTCAAACACACACACACACACACACACACACACACAAACACAGAGACGAACACCAACGCACCCGCCGAAGCAGCCGTAGTCCGTGATGCCGCGTAGGGGAAGGGCGAGTCCAGGTTCATGTCCAGCAGGTCCGTCAGCGGCTGCATGGTGAACTCGAACGCCTTGGGAAACTCGTTGATAGACTCGAGCCAGGCCTTGAGCAGGGTGCCGAAGCTGGTGGTGTAGAACTCGGTTATGGCGGCCGAGATGCGCTGGGAGCCGCCCTGAGCCTTCAGAACCTCATTGCTGTACTCCATCCGGCTTCTGAACACACAAAACATCAGGAGGCAAACCTGAATCAGCATATATTACCATGTGAAGGTCTGGTGCTTGACTTACAAACTAATACTGGGATGCCAGGTCTTCTAGGGACGCCTCAGGTTACAGGGTGTACAGGTCACAGGGGGAGGGGGTACAGGTTACTGGGTCCTCCCGTAGGGAGGGGAGTGGGGAGGGGGTAAAGGTTACTGGGGGGGGGGGTACAGGTTACAGGGGGTACAGGTTACAGGGGGGGACAGGTTAAACTTACCGTGATGCCTGTTCTTCCACAGACGCCTCAGACGTGGTGTCCTGGGTCTGTTCTCCCGAGGAACGTGCCTGCTCGTTCTTGGTCTCGTGTTCGTGGAACCAGCTGCTGGACTTGGTCTGCGTCTGCTGGGCCGTGTAGGTCGCCAGAAGCTGAAGAGGGGGTTTACATCATGAATGTAATGCTACCATTGTCTTTTAATACCAAGAAAATACCAAGTATTGAAATCCGCAATTCAGCAAAATGACGAGTGGCGTAGCAACGGCAGAGCGTTCGGCTCGGAACCAAGAGGTTCCGGGTTCTAATCCTGCCATGTCACTGATCTTGTGCCCTCGGGACACTTTACACGACTTTTCTGGATGGAGGCCTGACAAACCCCAACTTTTGGTCTTTCATTGAACCGCGACGGGGGCCGACATCGTCCACCAGTTACTTTGACTCGGTGTTGACGTCACACTTCAAAGAAGCCACGTGACAAGCTTCACTGGGTCAGTCTACTGAGGAAGACCACAGTGACTGGTTGTGTTTTAACTTTAAACATTAATTCACCTTCTTAAAGTCGGTCTGAGCGGCCTGGGAGAAGCTCTGCTGCGAGACGTCTTCAGTCACAGCCTTGGTCTTGATGATCTTGAGCTGCCCGCCGAACTTGGCGGAGGTGATGGCGTGCGTGCCCCAGCGTCGGATGAAAAACTCTGGAAGAAGAACAGTCTTCATTCGACATTTTTATAGTGTAATTAGAATATCAATCAATCATACATCTGACAAAAATTCCCTCTATCTAGACTTAAACGTATAAGGTCCCTGGAAAACCATAGACCAACTCCCCAGCATGTTATCTCGCTGTTTGGCCAATTTCTACTCTTCTCAGTCTCCTCTCGAAGCCTGGCAAAGGCTACCTGAATCAGCAAGTGGCCTTCTTTTTCTATGATAGAGGAATTCACAACAACTCACGGTATTCCCTGTCTGCTCCGACGTTGAAGTAGGAATTCGGCAGAGAAAGAAAGTCTCGTAGGAACGCCAAGTTCAAGTCTTCGGGTTTGACGAAGTCCAGGAATATTTCATATCTATTAAATGATAAGAAAAATCTATTAGACAGCATATATTTCAACATTCCATGACTAGACATGGTGATAGCACACTCAAGTTATATCAACTTATTTTATGTCGCCACCAACGAAGAGGACGAATACAGGACAAGACAATGCACGGGAAAGTCGTGTAAAGTGTCTTTCCTAAGGGCACAAGATCGGTGGCATGTCAGGACTCGAACCCGGTACCTCTTGGTTCCGAATCAAGCACGGTACCACTACACCACACGACTCCACTATCTGCCTGTGTCTGGTAGATAGAACATGTAGCAAAGTTGTCCCAATCACCTGTTCACCTGTCAGTCACTAATTGTAAATATGTGACTTACCTTACAGCAAAACGTTGAACTTTATTCCAACACACAATTACACTGGGATCAAATTAATGACCAATCATTTCACAAACGTTTTGTTATGATTACTACCAACACAGATGAACTTCCATGATAATGTAAGTTACCTGTAGACGTTGAGCTCCAGCATGGCCATGAAGGTCTGGGTTGAACTCTGACTGAGACCGCTGGTCTCCTGGGATCTGCCCGCGAAGTTGGAGGACAGCCTGTCGGAGCCTCGCTGTGAGGAGCTGCCGCCTCCGGCCGACCACCCCAGCCCGAACGCGCCTCCGCCTGAGCACAGAACACAGGTTAGGAACCTTATTACAAACTCTCACAACCTCACAGTAAAGAGACTCTTTTTACACAACCAAGTCTTGTATTCAGCCGACGTTTCAGTAACCGTCTGTCACCTTCCTCGGGGCAATTCAGGATAATCACTAAGCTGAGAAGACCTAATCAAGTACAAGATCAAATAAATCACTTAACCGCGACGGGGGCCGACATTGTCTACCAGATACCTTTGACCCGGTGTGACGTCACACTTCAAGGAAACCACGTAACAAGCCTCACTGGGTCAGTCTATCGAGGAAGACCAGAGTGACTGGTCGAAAGCTCTGGATGAGAGAACTTTTTGTGCTGGATCTAAAGTTTTAAATCTCTAAAATCAAATAAATCAGTTTTCTCTTACCCGCCCCGTGGCCCTGAGCCTTGTTCATCTCCTGTTGGAACATAGCCTTTGCTGACGTCACGGCCGACTTGTCCTCCAGGTAAGATCGGTACTCCTCCATGGAGCTAAAGGTGTAGGTCTCCACGTCCGTGTCGTAAATGCCCTGCACAGTCATCTGGTCTGGAACATGGAACTCCTTATACCTGCAGGTACATGTACAACAAACAGGAAACAGTCATGCCTTCACATATCAGAGTTATCAAACAAGTCCCAGGTAGGCCTGAAGGTGTAGGTCTACACCGTCATCTAGTCTGGAACATGGAACTCCTTATATCTAAAGTTACAACAAAGAAACAGTCAGTACCAGTCAGAACAGTAGTTCCCTACCCAGTAGTTCCCTACCCAGTAGTTCCCTACCCTTGCAGGCCGCTGTGAGGTGAGGACAGTGTAAGAGTTCCCTACCCTTGCAGGCCGTTGTGAGGTGAGGACAGTGTAAGAGTTCCCTACCCTTGCAGGCCGCTGTGAGGTGAGGACAGGACAGTGTAAGAGTTCCCTACCCTTGCAGGCCGTTGTGAGGTGAGGACAGTGTAAGAGTTCCCTACCCTTGCAGGCCGTTGTGAGGTGAGGACAGTGTAAGAGTTCCCTACCCTTGCAGGCCGTTGTGAGGTGAGGACAGTGTAAGATTTCCCTACCCTTGCAGGCCGTTGTGAGGTGAGGACAGGACAGTGTAAGAGTTCCCTACCCTTGCAGGCCGCTGTGAGGTGAGGACAGTGTAAGAGTTCCCTACCCTTGCAGGCCGTTGTGAGGTGAGGACAGTGTAAGATTTCCCTACCCTTGCAGGCCGTTGTGAGGTGAGGACAGTGTAAGAGTTCTCTACCCTTGCAGGCCTCTGTGAGGTGAGGACAGGACAGTGTAAGAGTTCCCTACCCTTGCAGGCCGTTGTGAGGACAGGACAGTGTAAGAGTTCCCTACCCTTGCAGGCCGCTGTGAGGACAGGACAGTGTAAGAGTTCCCTACCCTTGCAGGTTGTTGTGAGGTGAGGACAGTGTAAGAGTTCCCTACCCTTGCAGGCCGTTGTGAGGTGAGGACAGTGTAAGAGTTCCCTACCCTTGCAGGCCGTTGTGAGGTACAGGACAGTGTAAGAGTTCCCTACCCTTGCAGGCCGCTGTGAGGTGAGGACAGTGTAAGAGTTCCCTACCCTTGCAGGCCGTTGCAGGACCGCATGATGAGGCTCTTCCTCCGGGAGTCGCTGGAGTAGACGCCGCGCCCGTCAAACCCGACTCCCAGGAACGTCGCTCCGTCTATGATGTTCTGTGTGTCAGAAAAACATTTGATTTGATTTATTGAAATTGTAACGTTGGACACAGCCAGCTGTTGCAGGTGTTGTGTCCCACACATACAAACACAAATGTCTGCAAGGTTGATACAATAGGAAAAAATTAAGGCCATTTACATCAGGGCCCATCATCCTTCACTTAACAGCGACGGGGGCCGACATCGTTTACCAGATACTCTTGATCCAGTGTAACGTCACACTTCAAAGAATCCACGTGACAAGACTCACTGGGTCAGTCTACTGAGGAAGACCAGAGTAACTGGTCGAAAGCTCTAGATGAGAGAACTTCTTTGTGTTGGATCGAAAGTTTTAACTTTAAACAAATAAAGAATTGAATTGATAATTAGTTGAGACTTACGGCACAGGCCTCTATGGGAACGAAGGCCTCGAAGCACGGGTCTCCCTCCACGTAGCCGGTCCCGAAGCAGCCGCTCATCATGATGGGCCCCAGGCCGGAGGTGTAGGACATCGCCGCGCTCAGCTCAGAACTGTCCTGCTCATCCTCCCTGACAAACAAACAAACAAACAAAGTTAGTTTAACGAGGCCGGAGGTGTAGCTCCGAGCTGCCCTGCCCTTCCTCTCTGATAAACAAAGAAACGGGAAGAACATTTTATCACTGTTCACACATTAAGGAAAATAGTACAACACAAAGTGATAACGCAAATAGCTAGGACTGCTCATCCTCCCTGACAAACAAAGAAGCAAACAAACTTATTTAAGGAGCCCGGTCGTGTACCAAAGGTGATTCTAAGAGCTCAAATAGTGAAGCTTGAACATGTCCAAAAACGTGCCTGCGGGATCGTGCTTGGTAACGACTATACCGGTTATGGGAACGCCCTTCAGCACCTTGGACTGACATCACTGGTGGGCAGAAGGGAGCAGTTGTGCCTGAAGTTTGCGCGGTCGCTGATGGAGTTTACTTTCAGAGACTGGCTCCCGAGGTTGAGGGGGAAATATCTGAGTTTTGTCTGCTATGTGGTATTTGAAATAAAGTTTCAAAGAGTTTCCAAAATCTACCCAGTTGCTTGAGTAACAGCTTTTTGGCGTACCTTATTACCTGGATGTGTAATCTTCACCGACATAAAGTATGAAGTACTCACTCATCGTCTTCGTGGTCGAAGGCCAGGGTGAGCTCCTGGCTGGCCGGCGCGAAGGTGTCTCCGGTGTTCGTGCCTCTGCCGTGAACCACCCGCAGCCGCGCCTGGAGGGAGTAGTAATGGTTTATTTGTGCATACATACATATAAGATATATACATATATGATACATACATACATACATTAAACTTACATGTCAAACACTTATCGCAGCCCATTGGCTGGTTTAAACATTTACAAAACTCGCTGGAAGGAGGGAAGGGGGAGGGAGGTGGAGGGAGGTGAGAGAACTTTTCTGTTTTTTTTTAATTCATCAAGACATCAAGACATAACAAGGACAGTGTGGCGCTGCACTCAAGCTTATATTAACAGCGCGACACAACAAAAAGGTACAATTAACATTTAGATACAAAAAGTTAACATATCTGTGCGCCGTAGTCCCACCACCCCAAGACATTAAAAAAATGCTAATGCTAACAAAATTGTTTGGAAAACTTTTTGTGTTGGACCAAAAGTTTTATCTTTAAACCAGTAACCCAAAGCATTTGAGTGGCTCTCGTGAGGCTTTGCTTTTTGGAGAATCATAAAGTAAATTATAAAAATGCCTGCTTACCTCCTCAACTCCCGAAACACCTGCCAGGAGGTCTCCGCTCCGCCCGAGAACGTTGTCAAACTCCTCGTCCGCCTTGTCGAACTGTCCCGAGAAATAGTCCTCCAGGGAGCCCACCACCTTGAACAGGAAATAAACAAATAAACAAACAAAAAACAAACAAACATCATGTCGAACTGTTTCGAGAAGTAGTCCTCCAGAGAGCCCACCACCTTGAACAGGAAATAAACAAATAAACAAACAAAAAACAAACAAACATCATGTCGAACTGTCCCGAGAAGTAGTCCTCCAGGGAGCCCACCACCTTGAACAGGAAATAAACAAATAAACAAACAAAAACAAACAAACATCATGTCGAACTGTCCCAAGAAATAGTCCTCCAAGGAGCGGATCACCTAGCACAGGAAATAAACAAATAAACAAACATCTTACAGGAAATAAACAAACATCATGTCAAACTGTCCCGGAAGTACTCCTTCAGGGCGCCCAACGCCTAGCACAGTGTATGTACAGTGAGGACTCCAGAATGAGTAGTGGTTTCATTGTAACTATAGTGTCACTATGCATACTGGCCCAGTGCTTGGTGCTACTTTTCCCTCAGTAGCCATACCTTATACCATACATACTGGCCCTGTCCTTGGTGCTACTTTTCCCTCAGTAGCCATAGTGCTACCTTATACCATACATACTGGCCCTGTCCTTGGTGCTACTTTTCCCTCAGTAGCCACAGTGCTACCTTATACCATACATACTGACCCTGTCCATGGTGCTACTTTCCCCTCAGTAGCCACAGTGCTACCTTATACCATACATACTGGCCCTGTCCTTGGTGCTACTTTTCCCTCAGTAGCCATCTAGTGCTACCTTATACCATACATACTGGCCCTGTCCTTGGTGCTACTTTTCCCTCCGTAGCCACAGTGCTACCTTATACCATACATACTGACCCTGTCCTTGGTGCTACTTTTCCCTCAGTAGCCATCTAGTGCTACCTTATACCATACATACTGGCCCTGTCCTTATACCATACATACTGGCCCTGTCCTTGGTGCTACTTTTCCTTCAGTAGCCACAGTGCTACCTTATACCATACATACTGGCCCTGTCCTTGGTGCCTACTTTTCCCTCAGTAGCCACAGTGCTACCTTATACCATACATACTGGCCCTGTCCTTGGTGCTACTTTTCCCTCAGTAGCCATACCTTATACCATACAAACTGGCCCTGTCCTTGGTGCTACATTTCCCTCAGTAGCCATAGTGCTACCTTATACCATACATACTGGCCCTGTCCTTGGTGCTACTTTTCCCTCAGTAGCCATCTAGTGCTACCTTATACCATACATACTGGCCCTGTCCTTGGTGCTACTTTTCCCTCAGTAGCCATAGTGCTACCTTATACCATACATACTGGCCCTGTCCTTGGTGCTACTTTTCCCTCAGTAGCCATACCTTATACCATACATATTGGCCCTGTCCTTGGTGCTACTTTTCCCTCAGTAGCCATAGTGCTACCTTATACCTTACATACTGACCCTGTCCTGTTTTGTCCACTAATTGGAGGTTCCCGAAATGCACAAACAGACCAACCTTCTCCTGGTGGTTCTCCACCACTCCCTCGGCGACCCTGTCTCCCAGCCTGTCCACCACCTTCGCCGCCACGTCCTTCGCCGCGTCAGCTACGAAGGCGGGAACGGCTCGCTTTCCGCGGGAAACTGCGTCGCCTTGGTTACCGCCGGACGCTGGGAGGGAGGGAAGTACAGACGACGGGGTCTCAGTTTCAGCGTCTCAGATAACCAGAAACTAGGGACATACGGGGTCCCTTATCTAGGTCAGTAACTAGGCATATACTGGGGGTCCTTTATCCGTCTTATAAAGCATCAGGCCAGTAACTAGAGAGATACAGGGTGTCTCCAGGCCAGTATTAGGCAGTAACTACGGCGTCCTTTTCCGTCTTCAGGTCCGTATCTAGGAGGATACGGTGTCCTTTTCCGATTTTAGTTCAGTATCTATGGATATACGGCGTTCTTTATCCGTCTGCAAGCCAGTAACTAGGGAGATACGGGATCCTTTATCCGTCTCCAGGTCAGTAACTAGGGAGATACGGCGTCCTTTTCCATATTCAGGT